AGCCGGGGTTCAACCCTGTGACCTTCCACTCAGCAGACCTGTGCTCTCCCAACCTAGCTAACCAGGTGGCAGTTAGGGTGATTAGATAACTGAGATGAATGGGGTGACTAGGATAACTAGGGTGATGAGATAACTGAGATGACTGGGGTGACTAGGATAACTAGGGTGACTAGGATGACCCTGAGGATGATAAGATTACTGAGATGAATTGGGTGACTAGGATGACTAGGGTGATGTGATAACTGTAATGAATGAGGTGACTAGGATAACTAGGGTGACTAAGATGACTAGGGTGATGAGATAACTGAGATGACTGGGGTGACTAGGATAACTAGGGTGACTAGGATGACTAAGGTGATGAGATAACTGAGATGACTGGGGTGACTAGGATGACCAGGGTGACTAGGAATGACTAGGGTAATGAGATAACTGAGATGAATGGGGTGACTAGGATGACTAGGGGTTTGGACCGTGGTTTTCGTTAAAAATTTTAAAAAATTTTTTATCTTTTCAATTTATAGCAAAATCAGCCAGTAAAATTAAATGTGTTTGACAATATTCTGGAAAGGAAAAGAAAGCGTTTTTAGACTAAAAAAAAACAAAAAGTTAAAAAAAGCCGAAGACTCAGGATTTTTCCAAAGGGGTTAGTCCATGGTTTTGGTCAAAAATTTGAAATTTTTCCATGCTTTTATTATTAGCAAAATCAGCTTGCAAGATGTGTTTTTGATGATATTCTAGAAAGAAAAAAGTGTTTTTAGACTCTAAAATCAGAAAGTCAAAAAAGTCAAACAATCGCGATTTTTCCAAAGGAGTTAGTCCATGGTCTTGGTCAAAAATTTGAAATTTTTCCATGTTTTTATTTTTGGCAAAATCTGCCAGCAAGTTAAAAAAGTCAAAGAATCAGGATTTTTCCAAAGGAGTTAGTCTATAGGTTTGGTAAAAAATTTGAAATTTTCCATTTATGTTAGGCTAAATAGGCCAGGAAAATATGTTTGACAATATTCTAAAAAGGAAAAAGGCGTTTTTAGGCTCTAAAAAAGTTAAAAACGTCAAACATTTGGTATTTTTCCATAGGGGTTGGTCCATGGTTTTGGTCAAAAATTTGAATTTTTTCCATCTTTAATTAAAAAGAAAAATATGTGTTTGACGATAGTCTGGTAAAGAAAAGAAGTGTTTTCAGGTGATAAAAATAGAAATAAGAAAAATATCGAAAAGCTGAGATTTTTCCAAAGGGAAAAGTCCATCGTTTTGGTCAAAAATTTGAAATTATTCCATCTTTCTATTTTTGGCAAAATCAGACAGGAAAATGTGTTTGACGATATTCTAGAAAGGAAAAAAGCCTTTTTAGACTACAAAAAACAGAAAGTTAAAAAAGTAAAAAAAAAATCAGGATTTTTCCAAAGGGGTAAGTCCATGGCTTTAGTAAAAAATTGGAAATTTTTCCATCTTTTTATTTTTGGCAAAATCAGAAAGGAAAATGTGTTTGACAATATTCTAGAAAGAAAAAAGGTTTTTTATACGATAAAAAACAAAAAGTTAAAAAGTCCAAAAATTGGCATTTTTCCAAAGGGGTTACTCCATGGTTTTGGTCAAAAATTTGAATTTTTTTTTTATTATTATTATTGGCAAAATCAGCCAGCAAAATGTGTTTGATGATATTCTAGAAAGAAAAAAAAGTGTTATAACACTCTAAAATCAGACAATCAAAAAAGTTGAAACATTGGGATTTTTCCAAAGGGGATAGTCCATGGTTTTGATAAAAAATTTGAAATTTTTCCATCTTTTTATTTTTGGCAAAATCAGAAAGGAAAATGTGTTTGAAGATATTCTAGGAGGGAAAAAAAGCTTTTTTAGACTCTAACATCAGAAAGTTAAAAAAGTCTAAGAATCTGGATTTTTCCAAAGGGGATAGTCCATGGTTTTGATAAAAAATTTGAAATTTTTTCATCTTTTTATTTTTGGCAAAATCAGCCAGCAAAAGTTGTTTGAAGATATTCTAGAAAGTAAGAAAGCTTTTTTTAAATCAGTACATGTAGTGACCACAAAGAACAACAAGCTATACCATCATTTCATGGCATACACCGAGTTGAATTCTATCGATGTTGTTGTTAGTTCAATTTCATGGGTAAAATTTGCCGCTATGCGTAAAAGATAATGTAACTACAAATTTTTCATTAGCTAGCAATTTGAATTATATTATTTGTTTCTTCTCATGTTGGTTTGTTCATCTACAAAATCAAGGAAACTACAAGCAATTTTCATGTTTAGGCAAAGGAAAGGTCATGATTGAAAGCAGTGCCAAAATTAATTTCAATCACTATCAAATAGAAAACTTAGAAACTCCAATTAAACAGTATACTAGTGACCAGTGCAAAGAAAACGTCTTCAAAGAAACTTAAAATTAGGCTAAGTTTAATGCCCGTTTTCTTCAGTCTTCCAGGTAATGCTACACAAAATGGTTTGTTGCTGGATGCGTTGTCAGTAATTAATTTATGCCAACAATTAACGCTTCAGTGATTCTCACTATGTGATTCTCGATCTCATAGTCAGAAAACAAAATCCAACTGGTAACTTACTTTTGAGCATTAAGTAGCATGACCAGGGTGACTATGGTGACTGGAATGACTGGGATTACAAGGATGACTGGATGGCTTGGATGACTGGGATGACTTAGGATGACTAGGGTTCATGACCAATATTAATGAGGATGACAAGGGTGACTGTCATTAGTAGGATGACTGAGATGACTGGGGTGGCTGGGATGACCAGGATTGCAGGCATTGCAATGGTGACTTTGGTGACTAGGATGACTAGGGTGGGTGGGATAAGGTGAATGACCCTATGACTGGGATACATAGGATGATTGGAATGACTGGGACACCTGTGGCAGCTAGGATGGCAAGAGTGACTATGATGAACCTGCGATAAGTAGGATAACTGGGTTGACTGGGATGACTGGGTTGACTGAGATGACTAGGACTAGGCGTATCCCCTGCTAGACACCCAAGTCACAGAACAAAGTGTCTCATACCAGTTTAGAAGGTTAGAAACAAAGCTTTTGATACCTGGAATGCCTGAAACCACCATCCATCCTCAGGTTTCACTTTTGATGTTGATCGTCCCTTTAATTGTAGAATGTTTTGATATCCAATTTGTGAAGGCCAAGGAAATTTCCAAAACATTTCCAGATAGGAGGGGTTCTGTAAAATGGGCAGAAAATGTACGAGATGAATTATACAAAAAAAAAATGAAAACGCAGAATCGATGGAAATAATAAATAGTTATAATTTATAATACTTAAGTAAATTATAAATATAATTACATACTGTTAATTTTGGAATTAATTATTTATTAAAAATAAAAAAAAAGAAAAATACTAAATTCCAACAAGACCATAAATATAAATAAAAAGTATTTTGACTATTTGTACCTAACTGACTCATCAGTTCATTTATTTTTTCACAATGAATGAAAAAAAAAAAAAATAAAAAAAATAAAACTCAAGGACAGCCAAAATTGTCAGAGGAATTGTTTTCATTCAATTATTTCCAAATTGGACAAGCTTGTAGTCATTTTATTTATTAAATATTATATATAATAGCTGGTTAGTTAATCCAAACTTTCATGATCAGCAAAACAAAACAACATTCACAGCAACAATAATAAGCCAAAAGTGTTTGCCAACAAACTGTCATCAGCCAACGAGACATTTTTTTGGCATGTTGTCACAGGGACTTTGTGCTGATTGACTGGTTTGCATTGCCTATTGTTTTTTCTAGCATTTGATTGGCTTAGACCAGCTGTCCTATTTTTCTTAAATTGGACAGTTTGCCTATTTGTAAAGGAAAGTCCCGTCTCAAACTATCCAAACTAATCAATAATTGGACAGTTGGTAAAAATTTAATGATAATCGCTTTGCTGACAATAACAGATTGTAAACTAACAGCTATATAATATTATTTTATTAATAATAATAATTAAAATTTGAAGGCAGGTTAGCACTCACTTGCAGGTTAAATTAATTTTTAAATCTGGTTGTCTTTTTGGCATTTTCCCTGATAATTTTCTCAGTCTATTTTTTGGAGTATCCAATCATCAAAAAAATTAATTACGGCTTTTATACAGCTGTATCTGAGTTCAAATTTTGCACTAACCCTAGGTTATCTTAACCCAGCTTAGAACAACCCAGCCATGCTAATTTTAATGTTTTTGTGGCCTGACAACAGCTTTCAGTTATGAACCCAAGAAACACTAAATAAGAGTAATAAGGTGACATTTGACTACTAGACAAGACATTTGGGTAACATTGGGATAACATTGAAATATCCTAAAACTATCTTTGCACGGAGTTCAAAGAAATTTTCTGCATTAATAGACTGGCTGAATGACCAACTATTTTTAACTTATTGGTTGATTCATTGATTTATTAACTGACTGGTTAACTGTTTGAATGGTTGATATATTGATAGACTGATTGTTTGATTGATTAACTGACTGGCTAATTGTTTGAATGGTTGATAGACTGATGGACTGACTGTTTGATTGACTAACTGACTGGCTAACTATCTGAGTGGTTGCTACACTGATGAATTACTGAATGATTGATAAATTGACTAGCTAACTGTTTAAATGATATTTTAGCATAAAATATAAGTTAATATTGCCAAGCATTAACCTGTGAGCTTGCAAATCACTGCGGTTTTACCCCACACGGTATTTCCTTATTTAGCACTGTGCCTTATATATTATGGTATATGCCTGCTCAGTCAGCACGCTGGAAGTTCAAGCAGCAAAGTTAACACAAATGGAGTACTCTGCCCTGACCAATGAAGTCCTCTGGCTGTATTCGTGGATACATGGATTTGCCACACCACACTCGGAGCTCAGACGCTTCTGAACCTCCCTCAAAATAGGCGCGCACTAGTCACAGTTTTCCATCTGCATCCACTTCTGCTACTGAACCTGTTGTCGTCTCTGACGACTCAGCTACCGTCATGAACATGGCTGAACCTTCTAACTCAAACAACATCGCTGAAAACGAATCTGGGCAACTTGGTGGCTGCAAAGGGGGAGCTCCCCCAAATGCAAATCCCAACTTAAGCCCAGTGGCCCTCAAGACTCTTATCTCCTGTTTTCCTGATCAAAAACTTCAATCTGTTTCTGCCCCAAGTCAAGGTGTTTCTGCCCTGCAGCCTTCACAATCTCCATCTCCATCCATGGCCTGTCAACAGCAACTCATGAACCCCTCCATCATTACAAGCTTACTTTTGCCACTGCTTGGAATGAGCTCTTCACAAGTTCAGCAACCTTCCTCCCTCACTGCTCACGTTCCCCAGAAGACCAAGTGGTCTATCACACGCTGTGAGTTTGTTGAATTTGATTCTCTGTTGCCGGAAAACTCATGCCTCAATAACAGTGACCTAAAGGCTGTGTTGTCTACATGTATCTCTTTCGAATTTCGAGGGCAAACAAGTCAATGTTCCCACACCCTCTTGCAAGAAAAAACCCACATTGACTCCATTGACAGGTGGCTGTCAGCTTTTGTGGTTTACTGCACAGTCCTTTTGTCCTCTTTCCTCCATAGGGCTGGCGAGATGTTTGCCTTTAAAGAGATAATCCGATTAGCACATTGCAAGCTCACAGGGTTTGCATGGCTATCTTACGACATTGATTTTCTTAGGAAAGCAGCTGGCAACCTTGCTCTCAATTGGGGAGAATGGAAAATATACAATTGTACCTCCTGAAGTTTACTGGTCAAGCAAAATCTTCTTGCTCTGTTTGTGGGAGTGGGGACCATTTTTCTCATAGCTGCTCCCTTCCTGCCCTTAGGCCAACTTCCAGCCGAGGAGGAGTGTACCATAATTTTAACCATGGTACCAAATGCAGCCAAGACACCTGCCCCTTCAGCCACTGCTGCAAGATCTGTGATGGGGATCACCCCTCCTACTAACATGATGCCTCCCAGGGAAAAGCTAGAAGCAAGGCTTATAAAAAGTCCTCAAACCGCTGAAGTTTTACAGTCTTAAAGCCTAACACCCCTATAAATGGTCCCTTTTTTACACGACCTTCTAAAATCCCACCCTAATCGAGATTTTATTAATAACATTTCCACTGGGTTATGGTTTGGTTTCCGGGTGGTTTACAAGGGTTACTGGTTCCCTAGGGTTTCTAGAACCTTCCATCTACCACCCAGCAACCGGAAGTTATTTAGGCCAACCTACTTGAGGAGGTCAAGGAACGGGCCTATTTGTCCCTGGTCTGCCCTGTATGCGAGTACGGCTCCATCACTTGGAGTCCATATACACAAAAGGACATTATCTGTGTTGAATCTGTTCAGCGTCATGCGCCCAGGGGGTGGGGGGGGGGGGTACTCGGGATTTCAAGTGACGGGAATGATCGAAGGATTTTTTTGGGTTTGAAATTTTCGATTCCGGGATTTTTTTGGGTACAAAAATTTGGCCAGTATTTTTTTGGGTAGCTTGATTTGAGTAGGGATTTTTTGGAGGTATTAAAAAGAATTGGCAGTGCCCTGGCTGCGTAGTTCTGTGAGCAAAGTACAAACAAACGTGTTTTGCTGTTGTTTAATAGTTAACTATGGTGTCACTTTACATTGCACGTGTTATACAATAGTCTGCATTTTTGGTCCAGGGAATTTTTTGGGTTTTGCTGGAAGCCCTAGGGATTTTTTTGGGTCTTGACTTTTGGCTCCATTTGATCATCCCCGTCACTTGAAATCCCAAGTACCCCCCCTGGGGTCATGCGGTGTGTTTTGGTTACAAGTAACGATTACTGTCGTTCTAGTAGCGTTAATACAATGTTATCAAACTTGGGTTGGTTAGATATTGAGACACGCAGGAAGATCACCAATTTGACAATGTTTTGTAACATAAAGACAGGCAATGTACGGATGTCGTCCCCAAATGACCTACGCTAGGTGCACTGTCCCTACTTAACTTGAGGTAGTGCACAGCACCCATTCCAGTTCCAGCGTTACTCATCTACTATTAATGTGCACAAGTACTCTTTTTTTCATAAGAACTGTTCCAGCTTGGAACGCTTTGTCTCCTGGTCACGTACATGCTGATTCCGTTGCTGTGATCTATTCAAATATTTGTAATGTTATGTTTTAACAATTTTTATTTTATTTATTTTCTGATATGACTTGTGAAAATTAATTCATTTTGTCTATTTGAGGGGGGGGGGGGATTAATTTTGATAAAGCCCTCCCCTTCGGCCGCAGAAGTGCCCCCTTTTTCTTCAATCAATTGTCGCATGCCCTGGAATGGCTAGTCAAAAATTACCTCAATAATTATTATATCGTCCATTGTTCATATTTTTGATGACTTTTTTTTGCCCAACCAGCATCATCCTCCCTCTGCGCAACAGCTCTGTGCTGGGTCCTTACCTTGTTTGAGGACTTGAACATCCCGATTACCCGTAACAAAACCTTTTGGCCTTCCAAGGTCCTGGAATTCATAGGTATCACCCTGGAATCTGTTAACATGCAGGCCCGTCTCCCTGAGGATAAGCTTGACAAAGCATGGCCAATGCTACTGGGGTGGTCATCTAAATGGTTTTGCCACCTGTGGCACCTCCAGTCTCTTATTGGGACCCTTCAAATTGCCAGTTTCCCCTGGTTGGGCCCCTGCAACACATCATTAACCTTTCCGAAAGGACCTTTACATGTGCCACCTTTTTCTCGGTCACTGCAATGGTATCAGCCTCTTTCTTCCCCTTTACACTGAAATCTCCCCAGACATCCATCTCTATACTGATGTTGATGATTTGGGCCCCCCTTTGGGTCAATGTAGGAGAATTTGCTTCTACTGTGACAACCAGGCTGTCATTGCTATTTTGTCTGCCAAGAGCTCCAAAATTCCCTGTGTGATGAACCTTGTATGGTTGATCACTTTTCAAACACTTAGTTTTAATTTTACATTTACTGCTGAGCATGTCCCCGGGGTTAATAATGTCATTGCTGAGTATCTTGTTTCCAAATACATGTCACCGTTCTGCCTTCTTGCATCAGACGCATTGCCACCTCCCTGCTGTCCGATCCCTAAATTTTTGACCAAAGTTTAACCATGCAAGCTGCTTACTATTACTGCCCAGTGTATTGCTGCCGCTACTAGTTGCACTTACTCATCCGAGGAGTACCATTTATGCAATTCTGCCTTTTCAACAACCTTATTTCCTCTGAGAACCTCTTTTTACCTGCCGAGGAGTCCACCTTAAACCATTTTGTCACCCACCTCTACAGCCTACTCGCTTTCTTATGGCACCATCAAAGTTTATGGCAGCAGTAAAAATTCTTCATATTAGGTTTAATTGTCTCCAGGATCTCCCCTCTATATCATTTCTATTTAAGACCTTGCATGACATTAAATCTTCCTTTGGAATCTCTAAGCTATCGCACCTTCCCATCACAGTTTCAATCCTCCACCAAATTCATCTTGTCCTACAACCCTCACGGTGCGTGAACACAGATTCTTCCATGTTGTGGGCCGCTTTTACTGTAGCCTTTTTATGTTCTCTGCATAGTAGTGAATTAACTTGTGGTGGCACTTTTGATGCTCAGATCCATCTGACCAGATTGGAAGTTTCCTTTTACCCTGACCTGTTACAACCTGATTACTTCGAAATTGTTATAAAAAAGTCTAAAACGGACCCCTTCTGGGCGACAGCCAAGCTCACTATAGCCAAATCAAACTCACCCGTATGTGCTGTTACTGCCTCAAGAGACTACTTCCAGACAAGAACACATTCAGCTGCTCAGCCTCTGTTCCAGTTCTCCGATGGCCAGTACCTTACCCGCTCTTCTTTTACTCATAATTTCAGGCCTTGCTAATCATTAATTTGTGGATTTGACAGTATGCAATATGTATCACACAGCTTTCGCATAAGAGCTGCTACAACTGCGGAAACTGTGGGCCTCCCAGACTGTCTGATTAAAGTGCTTCGTCAATGGAAATCTAATGTATACCACACATACATAAAGACACCTACACGTAAAGACACTATACTCAGCATTTTAGGGTTGGGTCATGGTATTTTGTGCACATTTATGGGAGACAGAAAGGAGGCAGGAACAAAAATCACACCATCAAAAATTATAACTGAAGAGGGTGGGGGCTTAGAGACAAGGCGAAGGAAAAATAAAATCTAAAATCATTCTAGTCCCCCATCTACATAATAATATTATGAGCCCTCCTTTAATTGAATGAATGATTTAATGATTGAATAATTGTTTGAATGATTGATTGACTGACTGACTGCATGACTGTTTGATGGACTATCTATAGCCTTCACTGACTTACAGACTAATTACTTCCAACATACACACCAGTAACTTTCTCATTTGATAGAATCGCTCTTTGTTTGATGGAATGAATTCATAACTAACTGTTTTCCAAGCCAGGTCAAGCATAAGTCACCCCCCCTCCCCCTTCACCCCCCATCCACCAACCTCCTCAGATTGCTTTAATGAAAGATTATTTGAAAAATGAAATCATTAGTCATTCCCGCAACTTTACAAAGGAATCTTATCAAGGGTGCATTTATTCAAGTAAATAATATGGTATGTCACACATTACTGTAAAAAATAATAATAAATAAATAAATAGAAGAATTGTTTACCTTGTCCTCAGAGCTTCCTTTTCTCGCTGATCTTCTTTTCTGGTTGTATTACATTGTCTTGCAGTTTGCCTCAAGTGCTGTTCCTCTTCATTAAGATTCCAAAATACATGTACCCTGTATGGACACAGTGCAGTCCATCACTGAAAGAAAATCACATTGACAAAAATTTAGTGAACATAATTATTGCAACTGTTTTAAGGTTAAAACTAATAAGATACCCCTGGCAGTCAAAAAAGACAAATTATTTCTTGTATACGTAAGAAATTGATTCATATTTTAAAGACAGTCCACTTATTAAGGGATCTAAACTGGATTATGTGAAAGGGGTTGATAGGGTTAGATAATTAATTATGACATTTGTATTAAACTCAATCTCTCTTTCCAGGGTTTGTACAGATTTTTGGATCCAAAATTCAAGATTTCTTCCTGACTTTTTCAAAAACTATAATTTCTTTTTCCAGAGTCAAGGTTATCAAAGAGGTGAGCAATATAGATCTTTGAAAAAGCAGGAACAAAGCTTTATCAACAATGCACTGCAAATGTACAGGCAAGATTGAATATGATTTGACCAACAGGAAAAACATTTCACTTGTAAAGCACTTGATGTAACTTTCAAAAAAATATTTTACTATTTTCTCCAGACTTTATCTCTATTTTCCAGACTTTTTCCAGGTCTGGGAAATTGCTGGGCAAATATCACAATTTTTAAAGAATTCAAGACTCTGTATAAACCCTGTCTTTCTTCCTTTAAAATCTGTCTGAAAAAGTATATTATTAACAGCTGTAAGTCTAGAAGATTTGAATAGTTTCAGTATCATAGAAGTTTACTAGTCCTCCAATGACAATATTTGTTGTTTGTAATATTTGTTTGCCATAATTTTAGTATTTATTAATTTACAATGTACACACTGATTTTTCTTGCTCATTTACTGTATCCTATCTGTTCTTTTTTGGAATTAATTGTGAAGTCATAGCTGTGCATGTGTAGCCATCAAGAGTTGTAAACGAGGAGGCCTTACGTTATCACATGTAAGCCTTGTGGTTTCCATTTAAGGCTTCCTCACCACTTTTGTTCTGTATTGTATTTTTTTTCTTTCTCTCTTTTTACATTTTGTATGGCAAAAAAAAAAAA